GCCCCCACCACTGGATACACATATCACGGGAACGTCTCCCGATCGATGGCGGAGCTGCTGACGCTCCTCGTCTCAGCTCTGTTGGTCTCTGAACAATTAGCTGCTGCTGCTACGGCGCGGAAGAACCCGGGCGTACGAGGCTAATCCTGCTCTCTTTACGCTCTCTCTCTCTCTCTTCTTCCTTTATCGATCCTTTTATCTCCGGTTGAACGTGAACACTCTCTTCTCCCCCCCCCCCCCCCCCCCCCCCCGCCCCCCTTTTATTTCCCTGTAAAAAACCATTATCAGGGAGGCAGTTATGGACGAGTGAGTCTTCACTGAGGTCTTCAGGGTCTGGTGTGTCTACAGCAGTCTTTAGTCAGTCTTTAGTCCCAGCAGTCTTTAGTCAGTCTTTAGTCAGTCTTTAGTCCCAGCAGTTTTTAGTCCCAGCAGTCTTGAGTCAGTCTTTAGTCAGTCTTTAGTCCCAGCAGTCTTGAGTCAGTCTTTAGTCAGTCTTTAGTCCTAGCAGTCTTTAGTCAGTCTTTAGTCAGTCTTTAGTCCCAGCAGTCTTGAGTCAGTCTTCAGTCAGTCTTCAGTCGGTCTTCAGTCAGTCTTGAGTCAGTCTTCAGTCAGTCTTCAGTCAGGCTTTAGTCAGTCATGAGTCAGTCTTCAGTCAGTCTTGAGTCAGTCTTGAGTCAGTCTTTAGTCCCAGCAGGCTTTAGTCAGTCATGAGTCAGTCTTCAGTCAGTCTTGAGTCAGTCTTCAGTCAGTCTTCAGTCGGTCTTCAGTCAGTCTTCAGTCAGTCTTGAGTCAGTCTTTATTTCCAGCAGTCTTGAGTCAGTCTTGAGTCAGTCTTTAGTCCCAGCAGACTTGAGTCAGTCTTCAGTCAGTCTTCAGTCAGTCTTGAGTCAGTCTTCAGTCAGTCTTCAGTCAGTCTTCAGTCGGTCTTCAGTCGGTCTTTAGTTCCAATCTTCCTGTTAATGAACTGTTCAAATCAGGAGACAGAAAATCTAAGCCCGATGTGATCAAACCAACCGTGTTTATTTATTTACCTCCGTCATCTGGCAGCCAATTGACTAATGGCACCGTTGTCGTGTAGAGCAGCAGAGTAAACACAGCACAGCCCCCCCTGCTGTCTGCTGCACACAGTGACCCGGGAGTGAAGGAGGCACGGTGGCGCTGACTCCATGAGTCTGAGCGGCGTCAATGTCACAGCGCCAACCGTTCGATTTGTTTAGAGACACAATATGGCCGTCTTGGCAGTGAGCGGGAGACGCCACCGGGGGAGCCGCTGTTGCCAGCTCTCTCTCTCTCTCTCTCTCTCTCTTGTTGCTCTTTCTCTCTCGTTTTTCTCTGTGAAACCGTTCTCTGCAGGGAGCATTTGAAGAAGGAAGAGCTCTTTCATGGAAGATTCAAAGGCGCGATCAAACATGTGGTGTTCTGAGAAATAATTTTCATTTCCACACTGTCAACATCGCCTGCATATTTTACGTCGTCTGACCTCATAATAAATTCATGGTATTGTTTTTCTAGTGTTTTTTGCGGCTCTTAAAAATATTATGCTTCAGTGCATCGAGAAAAAAAAACCTCTTTAAAGCTAAGAATGAAAAAGGTTGAAGTTTGTCTCGTTCAGTTCTTGCTCTAATCACGGTGTAATTATGAACTCTTTTCTCTTTGGTTCCATTTTAATGCATTAAAGGGAGAAAAATTACCGACAGACTGAAATCAGCTTCACATCAACTCAGGTCCGTCACAGAGGATCTTCACAGGTGTTTGGAACCAACAACCCACAAGAACTGTAGGCACCAGGTCAGGTGGTTTTC